AATTATATTTATAATAAATTAATTTTACTATTTTATATAATTTTTTATATATAAACAAATATTTATAATTTTATAATTATTATTAATTAAATATATATATTTTAATTTATTATATTTATATTAAAATATATATATGTAAAAAACATTTAATCATTCTTTTTATTTAAATATAAAATATTTATAATAATAATAATAATATTATTATTATTATTAAAATATTTGACTATATATATAAATTAATTTATTTTTAAGTTATTATTTAAAAATAGAAAATATATAATTTATAAGAAAATATTTAATAAATTAATTCTTATTTAATTTATTCAAAATAATAAAAATTTAAATTATTAATTTTTTAAAATTTTTAAAATAATTATTTAATTAAGATAAAATTTAATATATGACAAATAAAAATAATAAGATAAAAAATATAATATAATAAAATTTAATAAATATAAATTATAAATAAAATAAAATATTATTATTAAAATTTATGTAAGATATATAAAAAAGATAAAAAAAGAAAAAAATTAAAAAGATTAAGAAAATGTAAAAAATTGAAAAAAAAATTGATATAAAAGATTTAAAAATATTTAAAAATAGATAAAAGAAAAAGAAAAAGAATAAAATATAAAAATAATCTTATATATAATAGGAAAAAAATATTTTTAAAATATTAATATTTTAAAATTTAAATTTAAATATAAAGTTAAGTTGGAAGTGAAAGTCATTGCAATGATAGGTTAAAAATTATATTATCCATCTCCAATAGTCGACTTGCCAACCCGCTATAATATGATGGAGCGGGTTGATGTTTTTAGCTGTTAGTCCATTTAGGCTTGTCCTACCAAGCCCGCCAATCCTTCTAACTAACCCGTGGGATGGGACGGACTCGACTATGCAGCCGCCTAATTAATAAAAAAATAATTTTTTATTATAATAAAATTAATTATAAAGATAATATATAAAATTAAAATTTTTAAAAAGAGAATTAAAAAAGTTTCACTTTCATTTAATGAAAGATAATCTTTTCTCTCCTGTTCTCCTAATCACTGATTATTTTTATCTTTATGACTTGAATTAAAGATGTAAAAATTACTAAAATATGAATAATGTGAAGTTTTATCAAATAAAAAAGATATAGATATTTAAATTTTCAATATAAAAAATATAAATTTTATAAGTTTTAACATATTATATTATATATATATATTTTTTATTATTTATTATGTAAATTTTATTATTATTATTTTAAATTATAATTTTTTTAAACAATATATTAATTTATATTATTAAATTGAAGTAATATATATATATATATATATATATATATATATTTTGAATGATTGACAAACAAATAATAATTTTATTATTAAATTTATTAAAATTTTATTTTAAAAAATATATTTTTTTAATTATGGTGAGTCGACCTACAACTCCGCTCCTTGGCGGGACTGGACGAAAAATCTACCCGTCTTTTGACGGACCAAAACAAGACAAATTGACCCGTTTTGCCATCCCTAATCCCGATCAACTCAACTTTTTTTCGTAAAACTCGAAATGGAGAGATGAACCCCACGTCTAATTGCCATCCTTAATAATGCAGGTTCCATAACTAAATTATTTTCAATTTAATTTTGTAGTTATTTCTTTCTTTGTTGTGTAACACGAAATTTATTTATTTTTAATATTAATATAGTTTATTTTCTTTAATTATTATTATATTTAAATTTTTTAATTATCAATTTATAGTCTTAAAATATATGATAAATAGAAAATATTACATATAATATTATTTTATAATTCAATTAAATCATAAATAGGTAAAAAAAAATACATAATTGATGTCATGCTATATAATATGATTTCATTTCAGTATTAATAATGAAAAAGTTTACAAAAAATGTTACATAGCACAAAAAAAAACCCAGAACTCATGTCATCTAATATGACTTCTTTAAAAATAAAAATTAAAAATGTTACATAAAATGACTTTGAAATAAAATAAAATAAAATAAAAAAATACCAAAAGTTGTAAAAACCAAATCTAAATAACATGACTTTTTCATTACAAAAACACGACTTATCCATATTTATAATTTTTTTCAAATTTTACCAATTTTAGTAAAATGCAAAAAAAATACACCATTTGGGTAAAAAAACCACCACATCATATAATAATATATTGCCCACTATTTCCTACGTTTACTTCTCTCTTATATGAAAATTGTTCTCTCACTAAACATATCCCAGGTATGTTTACAATTTTGATCGTCACTATAATAATGATCTAGCTCTACACATGAAGCTCAATGGACCTGCCGGTAGATGTACAATGGGTTTGTTGTTGTCTAAGGCTAACACATGGAAGAGGTAAATGATGAGTGACAACACAAAAGACATGGTGGTTGGGCTTCAGTTATGACACAGACATATTGATCTGAGTTCAAACTTTAAAATGTCTCTGTCATAAGAATACAAAAGAATTAATATATTCCACTCCGTTCATTTTTTCACCTAGATAGTGGCTTGCTATTAATAAGTTACGAAGTAGATGTTTATTTTTCTTGTTGAATTCGTTCATATTCACACAAGTTTTCCAACAACGGTAAATGAATTATGCAGGAAATACATATATATATATATATATATATATATATATATATATATATATATATATATATGAAAATCAACCAGGCAATGGTGCTTCTTAAATTTATTTCAAAACAATTAATTAGGCATGATTTAATCAAATAGAAGTAAAAAACGATCATAAAAAACTATTTTCCTCAACCATTTTCCCCAAGTCCCCATGGATATGCACCTGTCATGGACTTCCTTCTATCTTTGTTACAACGGGTTATGATCCACCAGTGGGCATGAAAATTGCTTCATTACGTGCCCCATAAAAACATGAACAAGAAAATCGGGATAACCGACCTGCTCATCGTCCTTACAGCATATATCAAACTGCAAAGTGCAAAACAGGGGGAACAAAATCAGCTCAGGGATAGAAAGATGAGGTTGCAGAGTAATAGAACTACATAACTAGAAAGTAACATACTAACCAAAAGAATTGAGACAAATTTAGCAATTGAAAAGAGATAAGATCTCCTAAATTTACTAGCAGAAGAGACATGAGAAGATATAAGTAGAGAGATCATGTGTCTCCGGATCTAAGTAATCCTACGATTGTGTTAGACTCCCATCCATTGTGTTCCAAGCATTGTTTAGTAGGCCTTTCAACGTTTATTATGCTGAATGTTATCTAGCCTTTGTACTATTTATTATGTTCCAGGTGTTAATTAGTTAGCCTAGTCCTGAACTTTTATGACCTAAATTATTTGTAAGAATATATTCTCTCAAAAAGTCTCACAACTTACTAAAACGATTAGTTTTGGTATCAATTGGATCATTAAACTTCTGCAGTAGTGAGCTTTTCATAAATGGTTACTGTCTAATAGTCGTTATCAAGATAATCCCTCAACTCTTCTAATGCTAGCATGCAACGAATGCAAGGGCAAAGCAAGCTTGTAGAAAGGTGACTGCTTAACATATCCCTTCATGGAATGAGAGAGGTTGGATGTCATTTTTGTCCATAAGCCCACTCTTTGTTTGCAAAAAACTTTGTTGCTCAAGCTCCTCAACATTAACATATAGCTACGTCTCAAAAGTATAAATACATATCATATTGCCATTAGTGTACTCAAATTGTGCTCAACTGGTAGACTCTAGTTAAAATAAGATATTTACTCTCCAATCAAAATCCAATATTTCTAGTATCAAACCAGCTTTTGATAGAATGACCCACCAAACACACAATAGAAGAGATAATCCTTTGGTGTTTCCCCCAACCACGCCCAGCCTTACACATTATTAAAGGCACAATAATTGAATTTAAGCAACACAATCACAACTATTATAGGATTTGTTAAGATTCCAAAATCAACCAGGATTGTAGCCAAAGTGCTCCTTCTAATACGTAAACTTGAACAATCCACTTCTCTTGAGCTTTTAAGGTGGAGCTAATTCTAGTTCATTACAAATAGTATACAAGTTTGATCTATTGTAAACATTAACCCATAAACAATAGGTGGCATAAAGGTGGTTAAACTCGAGATTTTACTTCAACTCAAAAAGGGGATACAAAATCATAAATCATGAAATCCTAAATGAAATTAGGATCCTACCAAATATGTAATTAAGCTTAAATTTATTTTCATAGATTAATATGTATATCAAAGCCAATGACTAAACCCAATACAAAATCAACTCACAAGTCATAAATGACAAACAAAGCAACTTAAAGTAATGTAGTAGTTCCAAGTGAAATGTTTGATTTTGAGGCTTGGGTTTACGAAAGCCCAAAACTGAATAAATACAAAAAAAAAAACAAATTAATGCATTCATCTCAGTTTAAACTGAAAGATCAAACCTTTTTATTCAAGGTATAACACCAAAAAAACTCTCCATCATTGTATTGATTAATCTATTTATTTAATTTTCAAAAGTCAATGTAAAAATATTTATATTATCAATCAATAAAAACCTATATGATACATAACTTATAAATAATTTCCATAAAACTCAATCATTTCACTATATATGGAAACTTATACACGAGTACATGATAATGATATTTAAAGTTAGATATTTACATTATAATAGAAAAACACAGTCTAATTAAGCAAATAAATAATACAAGAGAATTTCACTCAGTTACCCGATCACAAATTATTGCAATGAAAAGTTTATTGACTTTTACAATACATTAGAGTTATACATTTTATAGGTTATTGACTTCTACATAGAATGAGGCGGATTTCAAGAAAATAGATAGAGCAATCTACAACATCGTCATTGACTTTTACAACATCAACTCTAATGTCTAATCTATGAACAATTGTATAAAAGTTAAATTGTTCTAGTTAGATTCTTAACTAAAACAAACTAGTAGAGTTAATTAGCAAATTCTATACCTTTTTTGCGTGTAACAACCCTCATCTAGACACAGGCTTCTGCAGTAATGCAGTCAAGAACACTTCACCATTCTTGACGCCACTTGCATCGGTCTTATTCCCCGTCGCCCACTTCACCTTCTTGTACCCCAATTTCCCAATCAATGGCGCATACACCTTTTCAAGGTCCACCCCTTTGCTGAAAAAGTGGTCCAACCAAAGGTACCCTCCACCCCTCAGCACCCTATCAGCATCAAACAACAGAAACTCCATCACCGTCACCGGGATCCAACGGTTCACGGCGCGCCCACAACGCACCAGATCCACCACTCCGTCGAACAGCGGCAGCCGCTGTTGCAGCGGCACGTGAAGCGGCACCAACCCCCGCAGCGCCACGGCCTCACTGTTAGGCGCCGCAACGTTCATCGTCGTTGTCACCACCGTCACGTTGCGGAGCTTCATCGCAGCCGCAAAAGATCCAGTGCCGCCGCCGACGTCGAGGCCGAGCCGGAGCACCGACTTCGCCGCCTTTGCGATCTGGAACAGCTGCTGAATCGGGAGATCCAAGTCGCTCTTGTAAGAATTGAACTTGGAAACGTCGCGTGAGGGTTCGAAGCCGAGGTTAGGGTTTTGCCTGTTGAGGCAATCGAAGGATTTGCAGGTGTAGTGGTCCCAAACGACGGCGTTGTCGGGGAGGGAGGAGGAGAAGGGGTGTTGCGGGAGGGAATTTGGGGGAATGGGTTTCTGCGGAGTTTGGGAGAAGCAGCGGCGGCGGGGGAGGGGGTGGCAGCCGCGGAGGATAAGGGATTCGGCGAGGTCGGAATCGGAGGGGCAGAGAGAAAATGGGGTGTAGGTCATGTATTTATGGAGGAGTTCAGGGTGGTTGTGGCATGACGAGGCAATTGGGGAGAGGTGTGAGTAGAGAAGTAGATCTGAGGGGATGGTTGATTTTTTAGTTGGGTTAGTGTTCTGAAGGCGCGTGAGGTGGTTGATGGTGGCGCGTATGGTGTGGAGCTGGTGGAGGAGTTGGTCGGGGACAGGTGGGGGTGGTTTGGGGGATTTGGGAGATTGGAGGGTGGAGGAAAGGTGGTAGAGGGAGAGGATGTTGGTGGCCACCATGGCAATGAGGAGGAGCAAGTTCAGGGTCATGGTGGTGAAGGTGAAACCCATTTTCCTCACTCCCACACTCTCACTGTGTTAGTGACTTTGTGTCTTTGCCTTCTTGTTTTGGTTAGAGTAATTTGGACTTGGATAGCTATAATTGCTGTTTTCAAGATCAGAAGTGGGGTTTGTAGGTTGACTATTTGGACCTGAGTATCTTGAAGTCAGTGTGGCATGTGGACTCAGACTAACATGTATGTAGTGTAGTGTAGTGTGGTGTGGGGGAATCGATGCTTCGTCCACCTATGCAACCAAAACTTCCATTATACATAGGTAGTGATTTGGGATCTGTACTCTGTGGACCCAGCGAATCTAGATTTACTGTGTTTATGTAAATTTAGAATGCAGAATCTATATCTCTGCTTCAATGGAAAATGAATACAAATTTTGGATTTATGTTAGTGCAAAATAGGATCTGTATTGGAATTGTTTTCATTACTTCTAATGACACAGGTCAGTAAATAAAATGTGTAACAAATAAAATTAAAAAAATATTGAGTATTAAGTGTGACATTGGATTGGTAAAGTTGATTGTGTGATGGCAAATAGATGTGCTATGCTCAAAGGATTGCAGAAGGGTTCTTTCCAGTGGATTTCAATGACTTAAATAGAAAAGGACTGCATCTCTGTTATTCTGAAAACAGTCTAAGTTTTTGGCATTCATCATATCATGTGCAATGCTTGCAACTGTGACAGCGATAAGTTTTTGTGTGTGACTGTACTGTACGCATTTGTGCCTTACATGTTTATGGGAAGAAAATTAATAACATGATGATCTTTATGTCATGAATTAAAACTGAAAAAAACCTAAATATTATCTAATCATAATTAGATAATAATATTATGTAAACATAAACTATTTTTTTGTCCCAAATATATTCACACTTTTTAAATCAAACCTTATAATATTCTATGCATAAAATATTTTTGACATAATAAATTTTTAGTTTTATATAATTTCTATCACTTATTTTATTGTTTATCCAATATAATATGTCAAATTTTTTAATATGAATTATTTTTATCCAATTTTATTATTTTATTAGTAAATTATTTTTTAATTTTACATGAATTTGGACAATGGAGTTTCATTTTATTTCTTTGCTTCCTAGTTCTGATTTTTCTTATTTAAACGTTTGTTTCCTTACTTGTCAAGTTTTGGGGTCCTTGGACAGAGTTCAGAATTGGAGTATATAACACACCCTACCTACGTCATTAAATCTTCTTCACTTCTTCTCAGTATACTTTATAAAGCTAACTTTTGACGAAAAATAGGGAAAGGAATCTTCATATGTTAAAAAGGAGATTTTTTTTTTTTTTTTATCACGGTAAACAGTTGTGGGGCTACATAAAATGTCACCAACATTTTTTAGTTATATTTCAATTTAACTTTACCTATGGTACTTTTATTATTATTTTTCAATCAAAATTAAACAATTATCTTGATACTGTACACATTATACATTAGCACCAATTATTGAGATGAATGGTTTTACTTAAAAGATAATATAATACCTTATAAATGATTTTTTTTACAGAATCCAAGCAAGTAACTTGTAAACACTTAAAATTCCTTTTTATAAAGTAAGTTATCATGTTTATGCTATTTTTTTCCCTTATTTATCTCTATTAAATATCATGTGCGTTTGGATTTTGTATCAATAAATAATAAAAGAGAATACAAAAATAGTTATAATAAAGTTTAATTTTATATATTAGTAATACTTTTTAAAAAATTCATATAAATTAATTATATTTTATTGATATGTATAATACTATTAAAAATAATTTATACCAAGGATTATTAAAAATCAAGTAGTTTATTTTTGTTGGTTAAACAACTCATCATTAATAATTATTGGATTCAAGATTATTTAAAATGAGAAAAAAATTAAATAACAAGATGATAGAAAATAAAATTGGTATGATGCATAAAAAACTAAATAATAAAATAAATTGATATGAAGTCATTATTTTAAAAATAGATAAAAATTATATAAAATAAAGTAAATTTACATACAAATCGAAAAAATGTGATATTTTATAGGCATATCTAAATTTTATTTCATTTTTATAATAATTTATAAGTAATAGTAAAATTTTAGAAATTTGTTTGAAAAAAACTAAATTATAATATTTTTATATGTGTTTATAAAATTTGAATTATTAAATATATTAGTTTTTATTTTTCAATTTAATAAATTATTCTTAAAGAATAATGTTGCTGATAAAAATTCAGCAGATTAAAATCGTATATTATATTATCCAATTTATTTTTAAAAAAATTTTAAGTTTAAAATTATGTTAATTTTTAGTGTAATTAATATTTATTGTTCTTAAAAATATCACACAAGATTATGTATCTTGAAAATATTAATTAATAATTATCAATTTATCAATTTTTTTAAGTTTGTACATTTTTAAATATTTTTGAATTAATAAAGAAAAACATTTATATTAAACTAATTTAATATAAGACTATATTTATAATTATTTGATGTATAAATTAATTTAAATTAAAAATAATTTTATATTTCAAAATAAATTTATAAATAAATTGAATGTAAAATCAATATAAATATCTTAAATTTTATAATATATTTAAGTTTTAAGTTTTAAATAGATGATAAAATTATATAATTTAACTAATAATTTTAACAAATGAAAAATGGGAAGATATGTAAAATATTTAACAATGAATTAATATAAATTTAGTGAACTACCATCATTAAAAAAATTAAACAAAAATACATATAAATATTTTGATATATCTATTCAATATTATAAAATTATGTATGTTTTTAATCTAATTAATTTTATAATATACATTAAAAATACCTCCTTAAAAATTATTATAATTAGTTTTGACAATTCATTTAAATCTAGTCATGCATAGTATCATGAATAACATTTATTTAGGTTTATTATCTCAATGTGACTAGAGAGATGTAATTATTTTCTTTGAATTCTTGTTGAACCTCACATCTTCGTCTTTACTTGTAAAGTTATCTTCATAAGGGTTAAGTTATTAGGCATGATGATCCTTAACATGTTGTCGTGCATTGTTAATGTTTACCACATTCAATTTCTTTATATATCTTTCATTAAACACATTTGACCTTCATAAGACCATAATTGATTGTAAAGTCATATCAATCCTTATACGTAGTAGCATACGAGTGATAAAAACACTATAAGACAGAGAATACTCATAGTCTTACACTTTAATCATATGTTCTATGATACGATGGGGTCAATTAATCAAAATATGATATTTTATTATATCATAAAATATCATCCTATGACACTTAGGTATAGGTACACCTTGAGGACTTAGAAAATACACATATACAATATGTAGAAGTTTGTCCTCCATGGTTAAACTATAGTTCTAATCTAACCATTGTAGCTAAAGTCTCATCTTTATCATATTCTAAGTCTTTAGAGATGTTAGCCAAATCAATCTTGTAGTTTTGATATTTCAAATGAACCACAATAAGTCAATCATCATACTTTATTCTTATTTGTCTATATAGAAGCTCACTTACTAGATAATTTGTCTAGTCATCTCAAATTTATGTAGAAAACTCTAATAAAGTCATCATAATAAGAACATGTCCATACTAAAAATCTATCTAATTCCTAAAAAGGCAGAGATGTTAAGGGAATTCAAACTCAACTATAACAAAGAAGTTAAAATTTATTATCTTCACCTAGATTATGGGTCTATTGTCATAGTTTACATAATAATTTTTCTTTTGTCTTTCATTACTAAAGTAGCATCTATGATCTAACAGTGGAAAAAGGAGACAAGTTTTCATGAAAGGTGGGTTTATCATTCTCTATTTTTCTTTTTCCCTTTTTTTTTCCTAAGGCATGTAATTATATCTTTTGATTTTGAAGATGGTACAAACATACTTTCAAACTTGTAAATGTAGGTAGCATTACTACATTTTTTATATAGTTAATACATATTCAAATACTAATAATTACATACGTCAATGACAAATGTATACATTAACTTGTCATATTAAAACATAAATAAAACAATACACTAAAAAAACATAAATAGTACATGAACTTGCCATATTCAAACATAAATAGTACACTCAAACAAAATAATCAATCTCAAATATTTCAAAGTACATTATTTAACAAATAAAAAATTAAAATTCAACTAATAGGAGTCTTCACTAATTGTATGTTTCAACTAATAGTTTAGTCATAACTGTGGTGGCAATGCCAAAAAGTATAGCATATAGATGAGGTTTCTGCAAAATGCAAATTCAGTTAAGATAATATTTGTCAAATATTAAACACTAAATGTTGGGATAACATTTGTAAAGAATTTGTTACTTTCACCAATGTTACCTACCAATTTATGTATCCTTGTAGACATACTCTCAAACTAGACATGCAAGTCTACATTAATCATATGAGTTTTTCCCTTTGAACCTTATGAGAAAGATGTTTTTGCAAAAGTGGCAAAAAGGATAGGTTAAGAGACTTTGAACTATACGAGTCCACTTGTGATAGAATAGATTGCATTTCCTCAAATGTTAGGTTATACGCCTAACTCATGGAAGGGTCTACAACAACATCATATAAACACCTAAGTCCATTGTAAATTCCCTGTGTCAATGGATTTGGTGTGCACTCCCTATCATGTGATTGGTGGCATTATCAGCCCCTCACATTTCTTCCAACAAGTCATAAAATTTCATTTATTGACTTACCATATCACAATTAATGGTTTGTCATGAAAAAAATTATACACAATCGTTATATTATCCAGTTTTACAATCACACTATTAAAATATACTATTGAATGTCCTACTTGAATCAAGTTATTCCATACTACAAATTTTTACTTCAAATCTTTTCGTTGCCTTGCTCAAAGTAAAACCACTTAGGTCATTAAACAATTGGTGAAACTCTCACCATATATCCTATTGACTCTTTTATCTTCTTTTGTTTATTCTTGTTAATGTTAGTGTAACTTGCATCAT